CCAATTTTTTGTATTTTTAGTAGAGACGGGGTTTCACAGTGTTAGCCAGGATGGTCTCGATCTCCTTACCTTGTGATCTGCCCGCCTCGGCCTCCCAAAGTGCTGGGATTACAGGCGTGAGCCACTGCACCCGGCCATTTTTGTATTTTTTAGTAGAGACAGGGTTTCACCATGTTGGCCAGGCTGCTCTCGAATTCCTTACCTCAAGTGATCTGCCCACCTTGGCCTCCCAAAGTGCTGGGATTACAAGTATGAGCCACTGTGCCTGGTCTAAAGTCAATATTTTTTCACCCATAAACATTTAGATGAAGATTATATTTTGTGCCAGGCACTCTAAGTACTTTACAAAACATTAAATTATTTGAATGCTTCTAAGAATTCTATGAAGCAGTTAATATTACTTTCCTCATTTTACAGATGCAGGATCTGAGCCACAGAGAGGTCAGGTTATGGGCTCAAGAACACACAGCAAACAAGTTCCCACCTCACATTGGAACCCAGAACATGTGCTCTTAATCACAACACTTGTGAGGCTCCCTTTTCTCCAGCAGGAAAAAAAATGATTAATTAACTCCTCCTTGGTTACAGAGTTAGAAAGTGACCCAGCTGTGGCCGGGCATGGAGACTCATGCTTGTAATCTCAGCACTTTGGGAGGCCAAAGCTGGCAGATCACCTGAGGTCAAGAGTTCGAGACCAGCCTGGTCAACATGGTGAAACCCCGTCTCTACTCAAAACACAAAAATTAGCTGGGCGTGGTGGTGCACTCCTATAGTCTCAGCTATTTGGGAGGCTGAGGCAGGAGAATCACTGGAACCCGAGAGGCAAAGTTTGCAGTGAGTCAAGATCACGCCACTGCACTCCAGCCTGGGTAATAGAGTGAGACTCTGTCTCAAAAAAAAAAAAAAAAAAAAAGAGAGAGAAAGTGACCTAGCTGTGATTCAAACTCGGGTTTAGTCCTTTGAATTTGTGCTGAGTCATCATTCTGCTAATGGAATTGGAACACTTAGAACATTTGCTCCAGGAAAGAATGTGGGCAAAGGAACAAGTGGCCTTGGCAACATTTTATAGTACTTAGTTTAGAAATTGGTTTTTCAGTATCCTTCAGTTGCAAAATACAGATTGTGAAATTACCAATGTTCTGTTTTCTTTACTGGTGTCTAACAAACCACCCCCAAACTTAGTGGCTTAAAACACAGATTTGGCAAACTTTTTTGTTTGTTTGTTTCTGGTGGAGGGAGGGAGTGAGGCGGCTCCCCTACCCAAGGTCTTCCACGGTCCAACATCCTTCACCACCATCCTACCTGCAAAGGGAGGGTACAGAACTGTTTTGTGTTCTCTGAGTCAATTGGGGCAGACTTTTTTTTTTTGAGAAGGGCTAGAGAATGAATATTTTCAACTTTGAAGGCCGTGTTTCTACTACTCTGCCATTACAGCATGAAAGCATTATAGACAATACATCGGTGAATGAGTGTGGCCGTGTGCCAATAAAACTGCTTAGCAAACAAGGTAGTGGGCCCGATTTGGTTTGCATCAGGTAGTTTGCTGACTCCCGGCTTAACACACAGTTCTGTGGTTCTAAGGCTTTCCTGGGCTCAGTTGAGTGGTTCTTATTTGAAGTCCATCATGACACTGCAGCCAGATAATATCTAGGGCTGGGATTGTTTGAAGACTGCTTCACTCACACGGCTTGCACCTGGGCTCTGAAGGTTGGAACAGCTTGGGGCTGTTTGGACATCTGTATCTTAAAGATGCCTCTCGTACTCCTATTCCAATTTCTTTTTTTCCCCCCATTCCAATTTCTAAAAAACCCCAAATTAAAAGCTGCCTCTCCACGTGACTAGCTTGGGCTTCCTTACAGCATGGCCGTCTCCCAGTGAGGATGCTCCAAGAGACTTAGGGTGATACTTTTGATGTTCCTTAGGATCTGATTTTAGGAGTCACAGGCATCCCTTCTGCTTTATTCTATTGGTTAAAACCTAGTCACGGGTCCAGTCCTGATTCAAGGGGAAGGAATGACACAGGGAATAAATGCTGGATAAATAGCTCTTTGGGTACCATCTTTGGCAACAAGTCACCAGTTTGATTTTTCAGAGAACTTGCTGACTTCCAGATGCTAATATTCTTGTGGCCCAATAAAGATCACACAAACCCAAATAACATGACCAGGATGGAAATACATATCTTTATGTGATAACTGTTCATAGCAGAAGGGTTTATACCTTCCCTTTGGTAGATAGTTTACTGAAGAAATCTGAAAAGAATGCTATTGATAAAAATTCACTTTGACTGTAAGAATAGTGGTTATTTGATAGATTTTTGGATGCTCACTGTTGTAAACTACACAGAGTGGAGAGTCGATATGTAGGTTGAGAAATAAACATGTAGTCTGGCTAATGTGTGTGCATTATGGGAGGATGCGTTAAGCCCTGGCCAGGCCTGCTGGCTTCAGACAGCTCATGGGTCAACTTCAGACTCTGGAAAAAGGACTTTCACCCCATTTTCCATCTGCACGCTATGTCAAGTCAAGGGTCACTGATATATGTGGTCCAAGCTCTACAAATGGGTGCGTTCGCTGTACAGCAGGGCAAGTGTGCCTTTGAGTTTCTGTTAAATAGGCTTAATTCCCCCTGCCACAAGCGGACAAAGAGCTGAGATCAGAGCTTCATGCTATCTAGTTATCTCCCTGTGTACCTTTGCCCTTTCTGTTTCCGTATAAACAGCATGCCTGGGCAAGGCACCAGGATCTCCTTCCATTAGGTTGGTGGAAAAGTAATTGCGGTTTTTGCCATTACATTTATGACATTGCATTTACTTTCGTTGTTGTTGTTGTTGTTGAGATGGAGTCTCACCCTGTTGCGCAGGCTAGAGTGCAGTGGCGTGATCTCGGCTCACTGCAACCTCTGCCTCCCAGGTTCAAGCAATTCTCTACCTCAGCCTCCTGAGTAGCTGGGATGACAGACACCCACCACCATGCCCAGCTAATGTTTGTATTTTTAGTAGAGACGGAGTTTTACCATCTCTAGGTTGCCCAGGCTGGTCTTGAACTCGTGACCTTGTGATTCACCCGCCTCGGCCTCCCAAGGTGTTGGGATTACAGGCGTGAGCTGCCATGCCTGGCTTCTTTATTTGTATGGTTTATTTTTATTTATTTATTTATTTATTTATTTTAGATGGAGTCTCACTCTGTCATCCAGGCTGGAGTGCAGTGGCGTGATCTTAGCTCACTGCAACCTCTGTGTCCCAGGTTCAAGCAATTCTCCTGCCTCAGCCTCCCGAGTAGCTGGGATTATAGGTGTGTGCCACCATGCTCAGCTAATTTTTGTATTTTAAGTAGAGATGGGGTTTCACCATGCAACCCCGGCTCACTGCAACCTCTGCCTCCCAGATGCAAGCAATTATCTGCCTCAGCCTCGCAAGCAGCTGGAATACGGGCACCTGCAGCCACGGCCAGCTAATTTTTGTATTTTTTTTTTTTTTTTTTTTTTTGAGACGGAGTCTTCGCTCTGTTGCCCAGGCTGGAGTGCAGTGGCGCGATCTCGGCTCACTGCAAGCTCCGCCCCGGTTCACGCCATTCTCCTGCCTCAGCCTCCCGAGCTGGACTACAGCGCCCACCCGCGCCCGCTAATTTTTGTATTTTTAGTAGAACGGGTTCACCGTGGTCTCATCTCCTGACCTTGATCCCCCGCCTCGGCCTCCCAAGTGCTGGTACAGGCTGAGCCACCGCCCCATTTTTGTATTTTTAATAGAGACGGGGTTTCACCCTTTTGGCCAGGCTGGTCTGGAACTCCTGACCTCAGGTAATCCACCCGTCTCAGCCTCCCAAAGTGGTGGGATTACAGGCATGAGGCACCGCGCCCAGCCAAGAAACCGAAATTACTTTTGCCCCAACCTAACAGGAGCCACTCCTGGATATTGGTCCCGTTTTTATTTTATGCTCCAGGGGCTCCATCTGGATTTGCAGGAAGAGAGAACAGAAGTTTCACATCGATTCCAGGCCAAAGCCTTGAGCGCTGGCACCAGTTGGCAGAGGACTCCTGCATTTGCAGGATATTAAGGAACGCCCCGGCAACAACAGAAGTGGAACATTCTTCATTTTTCACTGCCCTTCTGACCCTGTGCACATAATTTTTTTGTAGAAGAAAACAGATAAAAATTGTAGGAGTTAAGAAGCTAATGCCGGCCGGGCGCGGTGGCTCAAGCCTGTAATCCCAGCACTTTGGGAGGCCGAGGCGGGCGGATCACAAGGTCAGGAGATCGAGACCATCCTGGCTAACGCGGTGAAACCCCGTCTCTACTAAAAATACAAAAAAAAAAAAAATACTAGCCGGGCGAGGTGGCGGGCGCCTGTAGTCCCAGCTACTCGGGAGGCTGAGGCAGGAGAATGGCGTAAACCCGGGACGCGGAGCTTGGAGTGAGCCGAGATCGTGCCACTGCACTCCAGCCTGGGCGACAGAGCAAGACTCCGTCTCAAAAAAAAAAAAAAAAAAAAAAAAAAGGAAGCGAATGCCTGAGGTTGAATGCAACCTGTATTTAGTATCTGCTGGATGAGGATAGGAAATGGTTTTTGTTTGTTTTTGTTTTTGTTTTTGAGACATAGTTTTGCTCTTGTTGCCCAGGCTGGAGTGCAATGGCGCGACCTCGGCTCACTGCAACCTCCACCTCCCAGGTTCAAGCGAGTCTCCTGCCTCAGTCTCCCGAGTAGCTGGGATTACAGGCATGCGCCACCACGCCTGGCTAATTTTGTATTTTTAGTAGAGACGGGATTTCTCCATGTTGGTCGGGCTGGTCTTGAACGCCTGACCCCAGGTGATCCACCCGCCTTGGCCTCCCAAAGCGCTGGGATTACAGGCATGAGCCACCACGCCCGGCCAGGAAATGGTTTTATTGTGGACTTCTATTTTAGTCCCCCACCCCGAGGAAGTATAATCCCTCTAACTGCCTGGATGGCTCCCATCCTTTTTATAAGTCTCCAGGGAGGAAATCATCAGTCCCGTTTCAATCTATAGATTGGTGCAAAAGGAACTGTGGTTTTGGCCATTACTTTCAATGGCAAAATCCGCAATTACTTTTGCACCAACCTAAATAGGGTTCCTAATTGTTAGGATTTATTGCAAGGTACCATAGTAGCATAGCCCAGATGAGGCAAACAGAATCTGTATGGTTTGTTTCCTGACTCTGAGCAGTCAGCAGTCGATGCACAGAACTCTGCACCCCACCCCCACCCCCAAAATTCGGGTTTGAGCGTTCCTACTGAAACACTAATTTAAGTCCTTTAATTTCTACCAGTTGACCCTAATGATGTCTGTGATGTTTAGACTTTTGTGTCAGCCTGGCTAGCCTGCAGTACCCAGTTTTATTTATTTATTTATTGACAGAATCTTGCCCTGTCATCCAGGCTGGAGTGCAGTGGCACAATCTCAGCTCACTGCAACCTCCGCCTCTCGGGTTCAAGCAATTCTCCTGCCTCAGCCTCCTGAGTAGCTGGGATTACAGGTGCCCGCCACCACACCTGGTTAATTTTTGTATTTTTAGTAGAGACAGGGTTTCACCATGTTGGCCAGGCTGGTCTTGAACTCCTGACCTCAAGAGATCTGCCCTCCTCAGCCTCCCAGGCGTGAGCCACTGTGCCTGGCCCGTACCCAGTTATTTAATTGAATGCTAGTGTAGGTGTTGCTGTGACGGTATTTCGTAGACATAGTTAACATCTACAATCAGTTGATTTTAAATAAAGGACATGAATGGCGATAACCTGGGTGGGCCTGAGCGAATCAGTTGAAGGCCTTAAGAACATAAACAGGTTTCCTGTAGAAGAAATTCCACCTTAAGCTTGCAGCATCAAATCCTCTCTAAGCTTCCACACTTCCAGCCTGCCCTACAGATTTTGGACTTGCCAGCCTGCACAATTGCATGAGTCAATTTCTTTACTCATCCCCCTTTCTTTTCTTTTCTTTTCTTTTTTTTTTGAGACAGAGTCTTGCTCTGTTGCCCAGGCTGGAGTGCAGTGGCATGATCTCGGCTCACTGCAAACTCTGCCTTCCAGGTTCAAGTGATTCTTGTGCCTCAGCCTCCCAAGTAGCTGGGACTACAGGCACGTGCCACCACGCCCAGCTAATTTTTGTGTTTTTAGTAGAGATGGGGTTTCCCCATGCTGGCCAGGCTGGTCTCCAACTCCTGACCTCATGCAGTCCACCCATCTCTGCCTCCCAAAGTGTTGGGATTACAGGCGTGAGCCACTGTGTCCAGCCCAGTTTCTTAAAATCAATCACTTTCCTGTTGATTCTGTTTCCCTGGAGAGTGCTCACTGTCCCCTTATCCAATACCACAGATTTACTCTTCTCATCCTTTCATGTATTTGATACTCAGTGAATTATTTGAACACTAACTATGGGCTGGGTCCCATCTTGTCCAATAATTTCCCCTCTGCATATAAGCCCAGACTCAATTTAAGATCCCTAAAACATGCATGTGTTTTAGGGACCTTAAATTATCCTTAGTGGATCTGGGGTTTCAGGCTATTGAAGATGCCAGGAAGGGAGGACAGAAACCAAACACAGTAAGTTCTCAACACAGAATTCAGAATTTCTCTCTTATTCTGTATGATTGATCTTCTGACCACATATGCAAACACTTTTTGAAACAAAATATGAACACGTTTGGAGATTAAGTGCTCAACCAGTGGGGTCCCTTCATATATCATTATCTGTAGCCTCACTCCCTCAATGATTTCTTTCTTTTTTTTTTTTTTTTTTTTTTTGAGACAGGGTCTTTCTCTGTCACCCAGGCGGGAGTGCAGTGGCAGGATTTCGGCTCCCTGCAACCTCTGCCTCCCAAGTTCAAGCGATTCTCTTGCCTCAGTCTCCCGAGTAGCTGGGACTACAGGCATGTGACACCATGCTCGGCTAATTCTTTTTTTTTTGTATATTTAGTAGAGACAAGGTTTCACCATGTTGGCCAGGCTGGTCTTGAATTCCTGACCTCAAATGATCTGCCTGCCTCGGCCTCCCAAAGTGCTGGGGTTACAGGTGTGAGCCACCGCGCCCAGCCATATACTCTTCAGTTCGGTTGAAGTTTGTTTATGTATTGTTAGGTTACAGTTTGCCACATAAGGAGGCAGCTTTAGGCCAAATTTCACTTAATTTAAACCGATGGTTTTCTCAATGCTGCAGTGAGGCGAAGGCAGAAAGGCCTGAGCGCTTGATGTGTCGGGAGGGAAATGTCTTCACTAACATAGAACAACCTGAAATTTCAATGGATCACATCTGAGGAATGAATCTGAGGATGAGTTGAAATCAAATGGACAAAGTCAGGTAGGAGTGAGGACAAAACGCCGATCCTTGATGTTTCATAAATGCTTTCATACGTACCAGGGAACTATTATTATCTCTACTTTAGAGTTAAAAAAGTGGGCATTCGGAGTGGTTAATCGTTTTACGAAGTCACGTAGCTCCTAAGTGGTAGAGCTGGGATTTGATCCCAGGCAGTTTCATTCCAAGTCTACGTTTATAATCGGTGACTGATGGTGCCCAAAAGATACGTTCACATTCCAACCTCTGAAACCTACCAATGTGACCTTATTTGGAAAAAGGGTCTTTGCAGATGTCATCCAGTGAAGAATCTCAGGATGAGAGTGTCATTAATTGTCTGGTGCGCCTTAAATCCAATAACAAGTATCCTTATGAGATAAAAAAGAGGAGAAGACACACAGAGTAGAAGGCCACGTGAAGATGGAGACAGAGATTGGAGTGTTGCAGCCATAAGCCAAGGAAGGCCTGTAGCCACCAGCAGCTGGAAGAGAGCAGGAATGATCCTCCTCTGGACCCTCCAGAGGGAGGGTGGCCCAGCCGGTATCTTGCTTTTGGACTTCCGGCGGACTTCCGGCCTCCAGCGCTGTGAGAGAATAACCGGCGAGTGTGTGGCGGTTTGTTGTGGCAGGCACAGGAAGCTAACACGGTGCTCTGTAGTTCTACGTGACCGGCTTCCTCCAGAGCTATGGGGGCCTTCTCTATAAGTTGATGTTCATCAGTTCCATTGCACAAAGCTGAAGTTATCCAACAACAGTACTCAAATCCCATACATCCTCAGTGGACCTCGAGGGTTCTAGGCTCTCTAAGGTGCCAGTTAGGGAGGACAGAATCCAGAAACAGTGAGTTTATGGTTTTTGTTTGTTTGTTTGTTTTGTTTTGTTTTGTTTTGAGACAGAGTTTCACTCTTGTTGCCCAGGCTGGACTGCAATGGTGAGATCTTGGCTCACTGTAACCTCCACCTCCTGGGTTCAAGCGATTTTCCTGCCTCCGCCCCCTGAGTAGCTGTGATTACAGGCACGCCTCACCACTCCAGGCTAATTTTGTATTTTTAGTAGAGACGGGATTTCTCCATGTTGGCCAGAATGGCTTCCAACTCCTGACCTTAGGTGATCCACCTGCCTCGGCCTCCCAAAGTGCTGGGATAACAGGCGTGAGCCACGGTGCCCAGCCAACAGTGAGTTTTTAACACAGAACCCAGAACTTCTCTCCCATTCTGTACTCTCCTGTAATTGTATAAACAAAAATTAATATGCAAAACATTTGTGGCTGGGCACGGTAGCTCACGCCTGTAACCCCAGCACTTTGGGAGGCCGAGGCGGGTGGATCATGAGGTCAGGAGTTCAAGACCAGCCTGGCCAAGATGGGAAAACCCCGTCTCTACTAAAAATACAAAAAATTAGCCAGGCGTGGTGGCAGGCTCCTGTAATCCCAGTTACTCCAGGGGCTGGGGCAGGACAATTGCTTGAACTCGGAGGGCGGAGGTTGAAGTGAGCCGAGATTGCGCCACTGCAATCCAGACTGGGTGACAGAGTGAGACTCCGTCACACACAAAAAAATCAAAAAACAAAACAAAACAAACGAACAAACGTTTGCATCTGAAAGAAATCTGCAGACTTTTGTGTTATTTTTATGGATATTTCTCTCAGGTTCATCAACTTGCCAGAAAATCTGCAGATATTCTCACTGGAGAAGCCGCAGCGAGTGTGACCATTTCAGCCGGGAATGGGAGGAAGGAAAATCAGTCCTGGGGACATTCTTCGCCCCAGGGGACCGATGATGCTCCATTTAATAGCACTTGCAGATCGAGTCCTGTTTCTGCTTCGAACAGAATGTTCAGGCACCTGAGACATAGAACAAAGTGCTGAACTCTGTTCTTCCCATCATTAACCTTAACGGCATTCAGACAATTCCCATCCATACACAAGAGTCCTACAGGTTTTTGAGACCCAAAAGGTTATTTTACTATTGTCTTACCAAATGTATAGGGGTCTTGTCTTCAGCATTAGGTAGCAGCTATGTGAATCTTCCAGGGGTAAAGGTCCTCTGCTTCCTCACGGGTATTCTTCCACAGTCCCCTCCTGGATGCCACAAACACAGCATATCCCTCTCCCCCAAATCCCTGCACCTTGCAGGCAACATTTAATGCATTTTTTTTTCTTTTTTTTCGAGACAGAGTCTCACCCAGGCTGGAGTGCAGTGGCGCGATCTCGGTTCACTGCAACTTCCGCCTCCTGGGTACAAGCGATTCTTCTGCCTCAGCCTCTTGAGTAGCTGGGATTACAGGCACGCGCCACCACACCTGGCTAATTGGTGAACGGGGTTTCACCATATTGGCCAGGCTGGTCTCCAACACCATATTACCACAGGCTGGAGTGCAGTGGCACGATCTCAGCTCACTGCAACCTCTGCCTCCCAGGTTCAAGTGATTCTCCCACCTCAGCCTCCTGAGTAGCTGGGATTACAGGCACACGCCACCACGCCCAGCTAATTTTTGTATTTTTAGTAGAGAAAGGGTTTCACCTTGTTGTCCAGGCTGGTCTCTAACTCCTGGACTCAAGTGATCCACCTGCCTCGGCCTCCCAACGTGCTGGGATTACAGGTGTGAGCCACCGCGCCTGATATCACCACTATCTAATTAATTCCGGAACATTTTCATCATCTGCCCCGAAAACCTCCCCACCCATCAGCAGTCACTCTCCGTCCCCCCAGCGCCCGGCAGCCACGAGTCTGCTTTCTGTCTCTGTGGATGTGTCTGTTCTGGACATTGCATGTGAGTGGAA